GGCCTTTCAGCTGAACCATCTACTTTTTGATGAAGCCTCAATAAAACTGGTCACAGTGTAAATGAGGCTATCAAGAAGGCATTCTTTGGCACAATGCACAAAGGAACACTATTAGTCATTGACTGGTCTCCTCGCAGAGTCTGGTTCTCAACACTGAAGCAATGTGGAATCGCCTCATCAGAGAACAGAACAAAAAGCAGTGAAAATAAAGATATTACAATAAAGCTTTGAGAATTCTTAAGAGACTTCAGGCTGTTAAAGAATAGAAATATTGACTTTCAAGCTTGTTAGAATAGTAGAAACTCTGTTTTTGCCTTAAATACTGTATTTCAATGTATGTTTGTGCACATTTTTAAAAAAATGCTACACCTACTTCCCAAAGAAATAAGGGGTGTATTTCTTAATCAACACTCTTATATACATGATGACAAGTCTATACAGCTGACTTCTTTTTCTCTTATTCTCTACGTAAAGGATGCCTTTGCCAAAGGTGAAGTTTTCCTTGGGAACAAGAACTATGGTTACAGTGCCTCCTCCGGCTTGCCTGCTGGCACCCACTGCAATGGTGCCTTTGAATATGGTATCACCATACAAACACCTGACCGCTGCTTTCTGTTTACTTGCGAGACAGAAAGTGACCAGCAGGACTGGCTGAAGCACTTCAATGATATCATGAGTGCTCAGATGTCCCCACAGGAATATACAAGTAAGACTTTTATATTCTAAGTAAGACTAAAAATCTATTTATTGCTTTTTCTTTTTTGCAAATGGCTTTTCATGTTATTTAAATGTTATTAATTACAGCACCAACTACAGTTTGTCTGTAACAAACACCATGTTTTAGCATAAGGTGCTCAAAAGTGCACGTGGGATTGGGATAGTTTAGGTTGATAATCAATTTTGTAATTATAGATCTTCAGTCATATCTGTGGCCATGTATCTTGGACATTGAGGGAAGTAATGGAGCTGCGCTGTCAAATCATTATCACTTGATGGAGAGTTGGATCAGACAATGGGTGAAGATGCTAGACAGGCGTGGTTTACCCAAACGTATAGTGAGTTTGAGCTGGGAGCTAAAACAGAGGCCACAGTTCGTGAAATCTTCAATTCCCACCTAACAAAACGTTAGCTTTCTGAGGGAGACTGGGGACACTAAGTATGAGTGGACCAAATCTGCACCACCATTGCTAAGTCAATGTAATGTAGCTTTGCAGTGGGTAATGGGACTGAACAGAAACCTGTATGCAGATGGACACCAATCTTGTCCACCTAACAAGATTTGTGCTGAATTAATTAAGGCTCTAGGTGTTGTAGGCCTGTCTTAGTTGACATGTCTCTGAAATGTGTTTGGGGCTGTGGCTCTGGATTGGCAGACTCGGGGTGATGGCTCTCGTTTTTGAGAAGGGTAACCAGAGGGTTGCATGGATCACACTTCTCAGCCTTCCAAAGAAGGCCTATGCCAGACTGCTCGAGAAGGACTTAGATCTAGAGAAAGCATTTGATTACGGCCTCAGGATCTCATCTTTACCATTTGAGGATGAGGTGTTTATGTTGGTTTCATTATGTGGCTTCATCAGCTTACACTAGGGCAATTTTCAGCTGTGTGTGCAGTGGCAGGAATGGGAATTACCACCTTTAAGCCCAAGGGTACAGTTCTCACCTGGAAAAGGGTGGAGTACCCACTCAAAGTCTGAGATGAGTTACTTGTCCAAGTGGAAGTACTCCAGGCCAAATTCACATGTGAAGGGAGAGTGGACTGACAGAGAGATTGGTGCAGGATCAGCAATGATGCAAAGGTTGTAATCTGTTATAGTGAAGAAAGAGGTGAAAGCAATTTACCAGTTGATCTATGTTCAACCATGGCCACAATCTTTGTGTAGTGATTGAATGAATGAGACTGCATATAAAAGCTGTGGAAATTAGTTTCCTGTGAAGGTTGGCTGGACTCAACCTCAGAGATGGGATGATGAGTTAAGTCATGCAAGAGAGAATTCTTCTCTTCTACATCTAAAGCATAGGTGTCAAACTCTGGCCCGCGGGCCAAATTTGGCCTGCAGCCTAATTACATTTGGCCCGCGAAGCCATACCAAATTACTATTAGAGCTGGCCTACTGGTATTATACAGCTAATATATATATTGTTTAGTATTATGCTTTGCTTGTTCCATATTCAGTTTTTCAGCAAAACTTATTTGAGCCCATAAGAAAAGATTCATTCTTATATCTGGAGGAAGATTTTTTTTTTCAATAAATATTAATGTTAGCCCGCGACTTTTTTCCAGTTTTGAATTTTGGCCCACTGTGTATTTGAGTTTGACACCCCTGATCTAAAGGATGTGGACTGGTTTGGGTATTTGACTAGGAAGCCTCATGGATGCTTCCTGAACAAGGTGCTTCAGGCATCTTCATCCATGCATGGATGAATGCATGGATGGATGGATAGATGGACAGCGACGGGTCCCTCAAAAACACCTGCCAAATCGTACATACTGTACTTATTTTGTTAAAGGTACATTGCTATAGCCTTTGTTCAATTTCTGTGTTAATTTGACTGTTAACATGCTTTTCCTTGATGCTTGAATGCTTCCCACACACTCATAAAAAGAGTAGACTAATTATTTTGCATCCCTTTTACATCTGTGTGGGCTGTGATTCTCAGTTTTAGAAACAGTTTTCAGGTAACCTTATTGGTTTGTATCATTTTTCTAAATCAACTTTGTATTTGAATAAACATGGTGGCCAAATTTTTTTTAACTTTCCTGGTCCAAAATTATTGTTCCAGTCTGCCACATCAGACTTTTTGGCATTATTTGCTAGTGTTTGATTTTACAGCTTGAGAAGGACCAAGCCTTCATTTTAAGAAATTGTGTTTTCTTTACATAAATTGTGTAAAGAAGGTAAAAAACAAAATCCTCAGAAATATTAGTATTAGTAAAAAAGCTTTGTGCATATCACAGATACTCTAGCATTTCATTTATGAAAGTTTCAAACACACTAGTTAGTGTACTCATTTCCACAAATGTATCCTTCTAGTTTATGGATACACATACATGGGTATTTTTTTTAAAACTGTGATTTTCCGCTTTGTTTTTGAAAATATCTCCATGCATACAAAAGTACAAAAAGCAGCATCAGGCACAACCAAGAAAAACCAAAGTGTAATACAATAATACAATATAATAAAATATATAATACAACATGGTGCACTGTCTGATGTCAACAAGTTTTTATAAAGTTTTGAGTGACTTGTCATTTCTATATTGATGAAAGGCCAAAATGTGTAGAAAAAGCTAAAGTCCAAAGTTTGTATGTTAACATTAGTAGTCTAAAAAGTAGATGTGTTGTCGTGTTAACTGACTGACAGTAATAATAACTGCATATTTACTGTGTTCTTGAGGCACGTGTTAGCATACATGCTAATTAGCGCTGAACATAAAGTACATCATGGCAGTTTACATATGTCAACAACTCAAAGTTTTAATGACAATACCAACAAAAACCAGTCATACAAATTGACTGGTCTTTATGGGTTAACTGAACATCTTCTTTCCTAACTTTGGACTTTCTTTTTTTTTAAGTGGAGGCCACATTCAGGCATAAGCACTGATGGATCAGAAGCCTGAAGAACCATCTCCCCTCTCAGTTCATGACCAGTGCGACAAAAGACCTGCTTCGCTTCTGCGTCACGGACCTGGAGTCTCAGCTTCTTTTTTACTGTGGTCACACTGGAGCTTGCTTCATAATTCAAATGGGATGACAGGATATTAAGAATGCAAATAAGAGAAAGTAATGACTGATAAGACCATTGTATTGTCAATGATATTAGCTTTTATTGGTGAAAGTGGTAAGATGAAATTACTTACGGTTCAACCAAATTTGTAATATTTTTATTTTTTTAACTTACAAATGCATTCTTTGGGCTCATGGTCATGGTGGCCACTGCCCATATCAAATACTATGTAAACAAAATAATACTATCCATTGTTTCTCGTGGACCTGTGGTATGCTATGTAAATACTGCTGTACAAAATAGGGACAGTAGAATTAAACGTATGTCAAACATATATTCTAACAAAAAACACTTTCAAAGTTAAAAGTATTTGCTTTGGTCCTCTTGTATTAAGTATAATGTGTTGTAATGATTGGGTAACGCTAATGAGGTGCAGGTAGTCAAATGTGCCTGTTTTCACTAAAGACATTTTGACATGTCACAGTGAGAAAATCACAGGTGAAAATTATACAGTTAATGACACCTGAATTTCATGTTCTGACTTGGTTTGTTCAGTTACTGCTTGGTGCTTTTGGTACTGTGATAATTCCAAATGTCTGCTGTGAAAAAAGACACAGTCAAACAGGAACAGAACATTTATCATCCAGTTACTGTGGGTACAATCAAACTGAGGTATGTGTAGGGTTTTTTGTTTTTTGTAATTTTATTCTTTTAATTAAAAGCAATATAACGTACTTAGGCATTTCTTTAATCATCTATTTTGCAAGTAAAGCAAACACAAATGTATATATTTTTAAAGTCGTCTGTCAAAGATCTGTTGGAAAGACAATAAAGCAGGTTTGCAGAAAAGCTGTTAACACAACAAAACCTTGGATGGTGTAACAGCTCCTTCATGTGGCATAAAGTGCATATATATTCAAATCTTTTTTTAAAATAGACAAGAATGCCATTAAGTTATTTTGTCTACATTGTCATCAGTGTCAAAAAAACCCCAAATCAGACATTTGAGTTGACATTTTTTCTTTTTTCGCTTCCTTCATCTGGTTAAAAGGTATTGTGCATTTTTAAGCATATGCTTGACTATGGCTGCCATAGAATATGAAATTGTTGCTGACCATGAATAAAAGAAATGTTTAAAATGTTGTCAAATGATCTCCGCATAGATTTGTGTGTCTTTATTTAACCATTAAACTGTTTTAATTATGTCTGCAGTGACGTGTTAGAGCTTAACACCATCACTTTCTTCAAATATTTCACTAAGGATGAGGTACTTATGAGTAAAAGTAAAATAAATAAGTGTAAAAATAATGTGATGCAAGTTTTGAAAAAATAGATGTCTTTTACATTTAAGCATTAGGCTAAACATTGATGAGGTTTGGTTACTGTGTAACTACACCCTCACTACACAGACTGGAGGTTGAGGCCCACGACGAATACCACATGAATCTATAGGTCCCTGCTATTTTTTCACCGTGGTGAGAAGGAGGGAGCACTGAGGAGAGACGGGAGGAGAGAAGTGCAACCCTGCAACTTCAAAGACACAGCACAGCAGTATCAAAACTTGGAGATAAGGGTGGGCTCAATTTTCAGGGAGAAACTGAAGCTTCATCTGTCACCAAGTGGATCCACAGAGGTCTGGAAGAGCTATGCAGAAAAAATATGGATGACTTGGATAAAACAAAGGATATCTTAAGGCTCTGTATGTCAATCCACATTAGGACAGAAACATAGAAGACCAAAAACACGGAGAATGTGAATGGATGTACTAAAGCTGCTGAGTGAATCTTTTTTTGCACAAGCAAAGCAACTTTTATTTTTAAGAGCCACACAGCACTCTATGCTAATATAGGAGAAAGGATTATGTTTTTGCCCTGCTGTGGAGACTGCTCTGGAGGTGTCAGCCAGTTAAGCCTTCTCAAGCACATCTTAGCACAGGAGGGACTTTCTATCAGGGACTTTGAGCACAGTTTGTCCAGCTAAAAGGCAGTGCTGCTCCCCACTGCTCTTAAATGACCCAGCTTGGATCTGCTTAAGTTCTACGCCCAACAGACAACATCTCTTAAGTCTGGGGTGTTCATATGACTTAAATTTTTGCTGGAGTCTTTATTGATCACAAACTTATTTGGGAATAAGCACTACAAGTTGGAAGGAACTGTGTTGAATGTTTCATTTTAACAGAAATATTTGACTGTAATGTCCACTGGCATCTTCTTTCTGCACTTCACCTCACACTGTAATGTTTCCACAGAGATGAAACCTTTCCTGTGAGGTAAGAGTCAATAATCCTGTGTAAACTGGCTCCTCAGTTTTGTAGCCTGACCTCTGACCTCTCTGAACTGCACTGAACTGCATGAACTCAAAATGAACTGCACTTTTAATGCCACCTTAACTCCCCAGCTGGGTCTTGGATTGAGCCCAGGGACAGGAGCTGACGAGTCCCAAGGGAGTGGTACTGGTGCTGGAGGTAGTGGTGGCTTGTGGGTGACATTCCTGCTTGGTACTACACTGATTATCATGTGTGTCGTGGGCATGTCTGGCAACACATACACACTTATTGTTACACGCTCAGCTGCTTTGCGACGCACAGGTTCTATGTACGTTTACATCATTAATTTAGCTCTGGCTGACCTGCTGTACCTCTGCACCATCCCTTTTGTAGTCTGCACCTACTTTGCCCACGACTGGCTGTTTGGTGAGGCCGGATGTCGCATCCTACTGAGTCTCGACCTCCTCACCATGCATGCCAGTGTCTTCATTTTGGGTGTTATGAGCTTGGAACGGTATCGTGCTGTGGCTAAACCCTTCAGTGCACACAAGACCTCGTCCCGCAACCGACAGCTAGTGTCAGGAATTATTTGGGGGTTATCTTTTCTGCTAACGCTTCCCATGATGGTGATGATCCGACTCAGGGAGGGCAAACCCACTGTGGCTGGTTCAGTCAAGAGAATCTGCTATCCAACCTGGACCCCTGAGGCCTTCAAGGCTTATATCATTGCCCTGTTTTTCACCAGTGTTTTAGTCCCTGGATTGGTAATTGTTGGACTGTATGCAGGGCTAGCTAGGCGCTACTGGGTAGCACAGGCTAACTTAGGGGGTAGCAGCCACTCTGCCAGAAGGACACGACTCAAACAAAAAGTCGTATCAATGATCTTTAGCATTGTGGTAGCTTACTGGACTTGCTTCTTGCCTTTTTGGGGATGGCAGTTAGCCAAACTGTTCTCTCCAGAGTCCCTCAAAGCTTTGTCTCCAGCTGCTCATAATTATGTAAATTTCTTTGTCACATGTCTCACGTATGGAAACAGCTGTATAAATCCATTTCTCTACACTCTACTGACTCGGAACTACAAAGATTATTTAGCACAGAAAGGACAGTCATCAGGATCCAGCAGGGCTGATCCCGGGTCAGCTGTGACAACCCCACTGCAGGACTTTTAGTGAATTAGCATTAATTGTTACTTATAGCCTGCATTCAAGCGATCTTCTTCTCAATGTTCCATTTGCCAGAACTGAACTGGGAAAGAGGGCTTTTACTTATGCTGCCCCTTTTACATGGAACATGATGCAAAAAGACTGGAAGATAGCATATCTTATTTCATTAAATGCTTTTAAGTCCAAATTGAGAGAGCCAGAGAAAAATGTTTTTTAAAATGTAATTGTTACTTATAACATGTATGTAACTTTGTAATTTTAACATGTTGTCGCCTCTTGGCCAGGACTCCCTTGAAAAAGAGGTTTTTAATCTCAATGGGACTTTTCCTGGTTAAATAAAGGTTAATAATACTAAACTGTCCAGTCATAATATGTTTTTGATTCAGAGAGGCCATTTTTTATTATCTACATTGAGTTGACCCAGCTAAAGCCTAACTTCCTCTCCTGTCTTAAAGAGAGAGGTAACTAGTCTTGTTAAGGTTTTGTGGGTTTTGAGAAAGTAGAATTAGCTGAATTAACCAAACTTGACTGAATGCATTTAATAAACTAGACATTTAGCTGAATCAAATGCATTTCAATCACAATGACAAACATGGTTCTGACTCCATTTACATTTTCTCAGTCTGACGAATCAGGTTAGGACGAATCATCTTATCAACTTTGTTCATTTTGTACCAAATTACATGAGATATCTCAAATGTTAAATAATGAATATAATTATAAGTGCAGAGAGGCATGGACTAAACTGACTAGAATTCACTGTGTTCATTATCTTTCTATTTGTTATGTTCTGTTGAGCAGATAGACATCTATGATTTACTGATACAGAGGTTGAAATGTGAGTATTTTATCTAAAAAGTATTTGAATTGGCAGTTTAGTACAAAACAGAAAAGTTTTGAAGGCCTTTTTTTTGGACAAAATACTGAACACAAGAAAATGACCAGAAAATGTTCTGCAGTACCTTATCCATTTTAAAAAATCATAAATACTCTTTATATACATTATCCACAGTGTCTGTAATTGATCAAATACAATGTGTAGTTTACAATAATGGAAAAAGTTGGTACCGTATTTTCACATATTTTTACTGTGTAACAATTAAAGTGAAACTGCTGTAAAAACAAAACAATAGAAAAGTGAATGAGAACTGTTTTCATATTTTTGTAATGGCCCAGTTTGCCAACAGCTTTACAGACAAATACTTTTCATCTCTATCTATGAAATGTCGTTGCACTGTGCCACATTCCTCAGCCTCCAGACGCTTGTCTTTTGAGTCCTCCTGTAAATTGTCTGTATAAGTGTGTGCTACATCTCCCACCTCACCTTCTTTTCCATGTCGACCTTTATTCTTTTTTTAACCTATTTCCTCATCACATATTAAAGATAATGACCAATACAATTCTGGGTTTTCTTTTTTCTCCCTCTTTTTTAAACTTTGCATAACTTTAAAAAAAAGAGGCAAAAATAATAATTCTGCTTTTGAATTACAGACATTGACAAAAATGCGTTGGCATCTTCTTTTAGTGTTTTTAAACACCCACTGCTTTTACTCTTGTACGTTACAATGATGTAAAAATTAAACCCTGAAACAAGTCTGAAATATGTTTTAGAACATGTAGGTGTAAATTACATGTGGTGTTTCGTATTTCAGAGGAAGTAAATGAAGAAGACTCTTTTCTTTTAGGGTTTTATTAACAAATCCAGCTTTGCTGAGCTGTCCTCCAACCATAGTAAGGTAAGATGTGCCGGGGCTCCATCTTAAGGCCATTTCCTCTCATTACAACATCAGCAATCTAAAGCAGTTGACATTTCCAGAGTTACTTTTCAGATTTCATATTAGCAGTCAAGCCTAATTTCAGCTATTGAAAAACATGAGAATGTTTTAGCAACGAGCAAAACGTAGAGAGGTGAAGGGTTGGGGCTTAAGAAGAGGTCAGCCTCTACTTCAGCTTGAGGCCGATGATTCTCGCATCACCGCTCACATCGAAGTACTTGTACTTGACATCACCCAGGCGGTTGGGGAAGGTAATCATGCTGCCGTCAGGAAGCTTGATGTAAAATTCCTCGTTGTTGAAGTTGATGTAAAACTGAAGAAGTAAGAAAAAGCAAGAGGGAGAAAAAGAGGTGAATGACATTTATCGTTTGGTTAAAAGGATACCTTTGTTTTTTTGAAGCTTGGGCTCAGACACGGACAGAACCTAAGCTGCTGTGGATGCAGTCAGCTGCAAATTTATTTTAGCCATCTATTAAAAAAACAAAAACCCAGGTTATAAATATCAATATCATATCAAGGATCAACTAGGTGACATGAGCACGACTGTGTGTGTCATCCAAGCAGATTTTAAAAATACATGTGGACACAAGTGCTACCCCTCAGCCTCCTTGTAGATACACCTATGGTATACACCTATATCGACCCTTTCTTGAGTTATCGCATTTACAGTCTTGGGTGTCCATGCCGCCTGGCACTCTGGCCGCCTCTGTTTAACAGCGCCAACCATCTCCGGTTGTGTACATGGCTGAAGGCAAGATAAAACAGTAAGAATCTTCAAATTAAAAAACAAAACAAATCAGATGCTGATATTATATCATTTGCTTCTGACTCTGTCCACAGTATACTGCAGTTAGATGCTTTAACTCCTGCCTCTCCCAAACGTGGCCATGCATGCAGCTATCTACTACAGATGATTCACTGACTATAGATAAGTACTTCAAGCAGATCCCCTTCCAAGAAAGTAAACAGTTCCTTGAATTTCATTGTTACACAACTGTAAGAAAGCTGCAGTTTCGACAGAAAATCCTCCTCCAGAAACATCTGGGGCAATCTTTCTCAACAGCTATTAACTTTTATGGGCCCATAAAGCCTGTCGTGATTACCCATTGACCTAGCAGCTTACAGCGCAGGCACCAAACCCATTAATTACACCCTGATAGTCAAAGAAATGATAACAGCTTGGAAATGCAGTTCATTTACCCAGGGTGTGCTTTACCTGAATACTCTTTAAATTAAAGTGCAGCAGGTGTGTGTGTGTGTGTGTCTAAGAGTACAATTACATTTTTTAAAGCTATCAGCTATAAAACCTTGCCCATAGAGTGACATGCAAAGATGTTATAAATCAAAGGATCAGCAAATCAAGGCCCTGTCTTAGTTAACGTTATCATCTGACTGATATACACAATTGAGACGTTGTAACTTTTATGAGCTTTCATTTATATTGTGAAATTGGCACTCAGTCCAGTAACACAGATGACTTTGTTCTCTGTCGTCTGGAGAACTGTGTTTTAGCATTTGCATTGATGTTAAACTGGTTATGTCAGTGTGTAAAAGCCTTGCTTCTTAAACCATTCGAACCTCTTCAGAGTGTATTGTGTGTTGGTGACTACATTTTTCAGACGCCACACGTCTTCATACAAACCTTGCATTCTTCTCCACGTCTGAAAGGGAAGTTTGATTCGTGGATCTCGTCACCCCAGCTACCCCCGGATAAAGAGTTGAAGACGATGGTGTTGGAGTCTAACCGGGGGTTGAGGTGCATGGCGATGTTCTCACGATCATGACCAATGTTGATGGCAAAACTGCGACAGATGCGGGAAGGAGAGGAGAGGAAGGAACATGAACTCGACTCGCTGCTTCCTGACAGATAACTAAATCGACTTTGCTGTGTGAAATGGACAGGACACTCTCAGCATGAACATCTTAGGAGAAGGTCTCACCTGTCACCACTCTCACCAGGCTTGACGCGGACTTTTAACTCCAAGCCCTGCTTGATTGACATATCCTGGATTTTCTGTAAAGGAAAGCGACATAGGAATAGTAAGATATTGAAAGATAAACCAATTCTTGCATTCTTTTGGAGCTTTTTGGTGGGAACTTTAGTTTGCTTCTTAGAAGGAAGACAGGATGAAATAATGATAATAATAATAATAGGAAGATTTCAGTACTCATGCTCATTCTTGGATGATAAAACTCTTCCTTGTAGAAGTGTGTATAGATCTGGTCTATCAGTTTTATTTATTAAATTTTAGGAACTATCTACATGATGGTTTGAGACAGCGGAACTGCCATGAGCAAACTGATGATTAGCGCTTGTCTTATCTTAGCAGTTGATGATCAACCGAGGTAAAACAATGTACCCACGGTTGTAAAATTAACAAAACAGGAAGGTGTCGTATTTGTTCACTGACGTGGTCGCCATAAAAAAAAAAAAAAAAAAAAAAAAAAAAAACCCACCCACACAGTGATCTATAGCTCTTCAGACACTAGTCATGTCTAGCATGTCTTTGTACAATATGTGCCCATTAACAATTATACAAACAGAGAAATGAAGTAAGGCTAAATCGATTTTATGTGTTTAAAGATCGATTTCACATGTATACAAATGAGAAACCCAACATGACATTTAAACAATGTTTAACAAAGTCAGTGAACCTGTTCACCTGATCAATAAAGCAATAAACTGTTCTTCTTTTCATCTAATCTTCCTATTTATGTGCTGGGCATCACCTGATGGGCAAACGAGAAGTTCATCATGCTGGACCCTATATTCCAGTCCTGCACCCACAGATTCCTCGGTTTAATCTGCTCACCCATTTCAGATTCATGCTGGTTTATCACTGACTTCACAGGGAATTTGATGGAAGATCATTAAGTCAAGCTATACATTATTAATCCCTCTGTGGGATTTGAATTATTCAGATTATTCAACTGTGACATATGGTAAATCTTAGAATAGGATTTTTCTTCTGTTACCAGGCTGCGACTCGAGAATTATCTCTTATATACTTATAACTGTAAGGTGAGCACAATCAGTGTAAGGGTTACGTATTTTCTTGACTGTTACTTAAAGCCTAAATTTGGTTATAGCCTCAGCAAAATCAAAATCAAAGGGAGATTCTCTATTGTATACAAAACGCATGTTCACAGAATATATGTAGCCATCATCACTTCTATAAAACACGCTCTATTAATATTACTGGTTGATAAACAAGCTTTGAGCTTTTTTATTCCTCAGCCTCATTAATATTCAGTCTATGCGTTTGAAATATATGACTATTTGACTACTGTATATGCAACGAGAAAAGTAAACCATGAAACGGCAGAGTATGAGGTTCAGCCACAGAATCAAAGCAAATGGTCACATACATAAGGATAGAATATAATGCCACAACTAAGGTAACAGATGCAGATTATTGTTCACGCAGAGAAAGTCCACGTACCATGGTGATGGTGTTCAGTGGATTGTGCTGAGGTCGGATCTTCAGTGGGTTATGCCTCCAGTGACAAGTCTGCAGGCAGGTGAGCGGTTTATATGGGGCAGGAGGGCTGTAAAAAAAGGGTATGGCAATATCTGCCTGTCACTGAATCCACTTAGTAGTGCTGTGCAGTACTGTGATAAATGCAGCACCAATATTGCTGATACCAGTACCAATAGTTTAAACTCGTAGAGGTAGCTTATGCAGGGGAAAGGAATGTGTCAAGACTCGTGAAATTAATCATCATCAATCTGCAAATTCTAAACAGATTTTATAGTTAAATCACTGTGATTTTTACTTTCCACAACAGTTAGTTCATTTAACAAAATGTACCTTATGGTCGAATAGCTGCTAAGAAACCACTACTAAGGAAAAGCAACAAGCAGAAGAGATTTGTTTGGGCTAAGTAACACAAGGAGTGAACATTAGACTAGTGGAAATCTGTGCTTTGGTCTGATGAGTCCAAATTTGAGATCTTTGGTCCACCCACTGTGTCTTTGGGTGATACAGAAAAGGTGAATGGATGGTCTCTACATGCATGGTTCTCACTGTGAAGCACGGAGGAGGAGGTGTGATGGTGTGGGGGTACTTTGCTGGTGACACTGTTGGAGATTTATTCAAAACTGAAGGCACACTGAAGCAGCATGGCTACTACAGCATTCTGCAGCCACATGCCATCCCATCTGGTTCACATTTAGTTGGATCATCATAAAATATTTAACAGGACAATGACCCCAAACACACCTCCAGGCTGTGTAAGGACTATGTGACCAAGAAGGAAAGTGATGGAGTGCTGCACCAGATGGCCTGGCCTTCATAGTCACCAATTGAGATGGGTTTGGAAGAGATGGACCGCAGAGTGAAGGCAAAAGGGCCAACAAGTGTTCAGCATCTCTGGGAACTCCTTCAAGACTGTTGGGAAACCATTTCAGGTGACTCATCGAGCTTATTGAGAGAATGCCAAGAGTGTGCAAAGCAGTAATGAAAACAAAGGGTGACTATTTTGAATAATGTATAACAGTCATTGTCAAACTGTGGTACGGGCTCCCTCTAGTGGTACGTGGGGAGTCTCCAGAAATTCTTTTTAAGATGAAATAATACACCATGTTCTGACTAAGGTATTTCTGAAAAATTAAAACGTACTTTTCTGCTATCATGAATGAAGACAGAAAACTAAACAGCAGTGACGTTTGTAGGGTTACTGAAGTTGGGCTAGCTGGTATATAATGATGTGCTATGTGGTGGTTCATACGTCGTCACTTAAAGACCGGATATCCCGCCTGCTGTGAATGTTTTAATGCAGTACAGTTGTTATTATTATCACTTGTCACATCCTGTTTATGACAGTTAAAATAAATAACATTAATATAAGAAATAAAATTATCTGTGTAAACCGTATATGGTGTTAAATAGGCTTAAACTACTGTACTTTAATGTCGGTCATAAGGGTGGTACTTCCAGAGCCATATATTTTATGAGGTGGTACTCATTGTGAAAAGTTTGAGAACCACTGATCTATAATATAAAACATGTTTTGAGTTATTTCACACTTTTTGTTTACTACATAATTTCATATGTGTTTATTCATAGTTTTGATTATTTCAGTGAGAATCTACAATGTAAATAGTCATAAAAATAAAACCAGTGAATGAGAAGGTGTGTCCAGGCTGGATGTGTATATAGATCTCACTCACTCACTCACTCACTCTATCTATCGAGATATATATGTATATTGATCAATATCTAAGGATAGATATTGATAGAGAGAGAGACCCTACCTAGAAACCACTGTGTTAAGGGCATTAAGTTGCATGAACATTAGGAAATATAGAAAAATAAATCTGGGAAACTTACTGGTGGAGGTTGATATTCAAGCCGTTCCTGAAAAAAATTTAAAAAATAAACTTCCAACACTGAATGAAACAAAATATGACGTTTATAACTCAGATTATTCTATTACTGAGATGTGGCACATGGAGAAGATCTTACACTCTAATGATACTTTTTTTCCCGTCAGGAAACACAGAGGACAGTATGTTGTCTGTGATGACAGTGAAGACTCAGTGGCAATGGGTGGGCAACTCCAGGCCTCGAGGGCCGGTCTCCTGCAGGTTTTAGATGTGTCCTTGAGCCAATACTACAGTGGCCCTGAGAGGCCAAACGGACTGCAACTTCAGAAAACACTTGCAAAAAGAAAAATGCTGCAAAAAGAAAAAATGCTGCAAAAAGAAAAACACTTGCAAAAAGAAAAATGCTGCAAAAAGAAAAACTGCAAAAAGAAAAATGCTGCAAAAAGAAAAACACTTGCAAAAAGAAAAATGCTGCAAAAAGAAAAACACTTGCAAAAAGAAAAATGCTGCAAAAAGAAAAATGCTGCAAAAAGAAAAACGCTGCAAAAAGAAAAATGCTGCAAAAAGAAAAATGCTGCAAAAGCACACAAAGCACAACGGAAATAGGAAAAAAGACAACGGAAATGTTTCTGGGGAGACAATAACCGAACGGACCAGTTGCACGAACCAAAACATGTATGTATGGCTGTATCCCAATTCAGGGACTGTTTCCCAATTCAGGGTCTGCAGCCTTAACGGTCCTCAAGGGCCGCACTCAAAGACTGCTGAGGCCGGAAGTGCGAGGCTTGTAGGCTTGTGAAATGGGACGGTCTAGCCTCCGTCGCGCTGCCCAGGTTGCCTAGCAACCATGATACTAACAGCTGGAAACGTTTCATACAGCTTTGTTTGACAGAAATGAAGGAGAACATATTTTGTACATTTGTTTCTACATGAGCTTTGTGTGATTTGATAAGTATCTGAGGCTGAGACCACAGGACTGTAAAACATGATTGTTGGGCTTCATTTTTGTACTGAACAGTCATTTAAGATTAGCTAGTAAATAACAATTAGCTAATCTTGTTCATGAGACTAAAGTCATCTCACTTTGGTAATGTAAATATAATATGGCCAATATTATATTAATCATTATTAGTTATTACAGCAGTGAACATGAACTCTGTGCCAAACACTGAGCTTCAGTAAAGATTCAAGTTGCATTTATTTATATTTCCTATCACCTTAAATCTTCACTTAAACACAAGTATCTGTGACAGTGTATATATAGATGTATTATATATAAGAGACAAATATTGTTCTTTTAATATGTTGGCATTACTAAATTTGGCTCAATGCTTACATATATGTGTAAAAAGAAAATGTACGAGCTGTGAAAACTGTTTCTGATAAAATGAAGAGTAGACTGATATATGAAATATTCCTTTATTGGGTGAGAAAATCAGACCATGTCATAACTGCTTTAAGTCATACAGAATAGATATCAGAGCCTTAAACAGGCTGACTTCTGTTAAATGGGTCAAACTGGGCAGAAAGTACACAAACACATAACATCCTTATAGAATATGATATAACACTATAGATCAACTTACCTCAGAATATATAAAGCATATAAACAATTACAGCAATATGATGCAACAAACACAGCAGTGCTACTAATCCAAAATACTCAAAGCTTCATAGAACTGAAACGAACATTTATTTTTAGCTCCATTCTGCTGCTGATACATACTTTAGGTTTCTGAATATTACACTTGTTGCTGCCTTTCATAGTGTGTAACTTGAAGGCCCTGAGTACTTTCTCCCACACTGAAAACACTGGAATGATAAAATTATTTGAACATTACCTAATAAGACTGATTCAGGACAGACAGTTATGTTAAACTTTCCTAGCAGTCCTTCACAAACAGGGAACAGTGTGTCTATTCTCTCCATCTGTCAGCTGCTGCTGGCTCTTCCTCCTCCTCTTCCTCACACACTGTTGAGTTCGGTGGATCATCAGGGGTGCAAAGCCTCACAGATGATGTGCAGCAGTGGGTCCCTCAGTCTGTCCTCACTCTGGACACTTGCAGTTGTCACACATGGAAATCAAATGTGTGATAAGCTGCAGGATTCAAACACAAGTGTAACTTATAAACACATGTTCATACTTTTATTCCACAATCAGAGAGAAAGAAACAGAGAGAGAGTGCAGGACAGACAGACAGGTGACAGTCTCAGCTGTATACACTGCTACAAACAGGAGGATTTAGTGTTTGTGTTATTACGAGTGCTAAACAAGAAGAGTTCCCAGATGGTGCAGTGGACACATGTGTGACTGCTGTGATTAAAGCATCTTTCTTTCAGCTTAACGAGTGAACCGTCAGCTCGTTCAAACACACGTTAAAGTCCGTTTGGCTCGACACCACCGAACAGAGGCAGCAATATAACATAGCTAACATTAACAGTGCAGTGAATCCTGCTTGTGCCGTGATATTCAGGACTGCAAACCGAGCAGCATCACTGACTTTCAGCTTGTTGTGTTTGTGGATATATGACTGACTTTAATTATCCACAAAATCATCACATTCTCTGTAAGATTAAGGTCACTATTGAACGGCGTATATTTTAAAGTAAAGTGACATAATATTCAGAACTTACTTTTGAAAGTTTACTCTTTGGCCGCTCCACTTCTTTGAAGTGTCTCCCAGTCCCAGTGCACTTGTTAGCATGTTTTGGTTCGTGCAACTGGTCCGTCCGGTTATTGTCTCCCCAGAAACATTTCCGTTGTCTTTTTTCCTATTTCCGTTGTCTTTTTTCCTATTTCCGTTGTGCTTTGGCAGCGTTTTTCTTTTTGCAGCATTTTTCTTTTTGCAAGTGCTTTCTGAAGTTGCAGTCCGTTTGGCCTCTCAGGGCCACCGTAGAAAACGCTGGAAAGCACTCTCCGCCTGTGAGCAAAAACAAAACCCAAACTCCTCCTCCCCTCCTGTTTCCAGTGGTTTTATTTATAAATTTTTATATATAAATATTAGGGGTGCAACGATACACAAAATTCACGGTTCGGTTCGGTTCGATACTTTGGTGTCACGGTTCGATATTTTTTCGATACAAAATAAAATGTTCATGCCTTTTTAATTTGTCATTTATTAAAATTATAAATATATATTTTAACTCAAAAGTACAGTTTTTAAATTTAACCCTAACCCTTGTGCGTGTTTTTTATTTTGACAGCGAATGCGCACCTGCGGACCACTTATGTGCACCCCTGGTTATTTA